TAAAATCCATGAAACCTTGTGAAACATAATTTATTGATCCAATCTGAAGTAGGACAACACTGAGTTAGTTTCTAAATAGGACTATTTGGTATTTTACTAATAAGCAAAACCGAAACAATGCATTTCACTGGCATTATGAAGTGATAACGTCGATGGCTAACTGAATAACATTCAGTTATAGATATTCGCAAGTAAAACTGACCAAAAAAGTAGGACGTAAGAAGTTCAGAGACCATCTTTCCTTCAAGCTCCACATCATCGATCAACATATAACATCGATTCTTCTCTATTATTTAACCAATTCACGAGATTGTCAAATGAATTTGTTTGGCTAAGGTCTCGACGTGTTCGCCCACTGAGAACCGATGATAGTAGAACTGTTCCACATGTATCTTTGACGATGAATTAGTTCGTTCATGTCTTAAACACTTCGAGAACAAATTTCCTTTCGTGATACTATACTTATACATTTACATACTACTTTCTCGACAAATCTAATACCACAATAATGTCTTATCATTGATATTTTACAAGTATTTCATATATCTTGATGACTTATCTCAGTAGTAGTGGATCATTTAGTGAACGACACTGTTAAATTGAAATCAAATCTCACTGTAAAATCGCTAAGTAGTACATGAAAACAACATGATCATGAATAAGAACAACAAAATGTCCAGCTTACTCTGACATTAGATGCAATCCCAACCAAAGTACTGAGTCGACTAAGATTGGGTATAACGAGTAAATTATTGTCGGATAAAATCTAAATCTATAGAGAAGATGCACTAGGAAAAATCAAACCTTGACAGCGCCACTCTACCAAACTCCCGCGTGATTCAGTGTGTGTGGTCGATAAACCGAGACTTGATCTGTGAGAAACGAATACGAAAATCAAGGCAGTTCACGGCGTAAGTACGTTCGCCAATTAAACATTGTTAATATCTACCCTAGTAATGCTCAAAGTATATTACGAGACTAAACAAGCCACATTACTGAATTAAACAAATGTCAAACGTTAGGTTGCTTTGTCATTATTCCCAGATAATCGTCACTGCCTCGTCAAATGAATCTGATTGCTTGAGAAAACAACACGGTAAGAATCGAGTTCGTTATAATCGCTTTGATATCACTCTTAAAAACTTCACTTGCAAGCTTTATTCGCATTCAGAACGTGCACATCATATCATACAACTTGGTGTACAACACAAAGCATCAATCACCACGAATAAGACAACAGACTACAGAATCCATATTATCTAAGTGAAATATCTTATTCAAAGGTGAAGCATAACGTTGCAACACTTTCAAACAGCAACGGAAATTTACTCCGCGCGCTAACATTAGACTGAAAGCCAGCATTGGGCGAGTGAAACGATAGGAAAATCGATCCGAAGAATCCAGACATCAAATCAGATCGATATAACCTAAAAAAATGGTCTATCAGGTAAAATACATAGTCAAGCACGTTAAAATTTACTTAATCTTCGACCCAAGCGCTTTCCTTACGGAGCTCCTCCTCTTCTTCGGGAGTAAGATCGTTGTCTATGTTGAAAGTGAGACGTATTTCTTCTGGAGTCTTTCCTTTCATCACGTTGGCTACGGTTTTACAAGTCACATCAGGTAGTCTCTTGATATCTAGATAATTAGCGGCAAGGATTAATTAGAAGAGCGTTGCCTGATCAACTTTTAGGAATTCCACATCCCAGCTGGGATTGTCGTTGGTACGCTTTTCACGGTAATTTGAGTCATCCGTGCTCGGCGGATCATCCTTGTGATATGTGCATCACTGTAAGACTTTTTTCATAATGGGACCTGATACGTTGTAAATAGGAATCGGGTCGTTTTTTTTCGTTATTCAGGCCCAAAACTTCCAACATGGTGTTGATCGTGGTTGACAGGCGGAGAACATCTCGTGGTACATCGAAATTCTCCCCGTCGTTTGTTACCAGCTTCAGAATAGGAGTTTCTTGAGCTTCTGTCGACATTCTAAAGAAAATAGTAATAATAAAGGCAGTAAAGAGAATCAAATCTTGGTGAGCAATTAACGAGAACTATTTGACGATAATAAAAGGAAACAAGTGCAAATCAGGCTTACTCACAGCAGCTCAATGATGAACAATAAGTAAAATGAGGCTAATCCATTTTGATACGATGTGATTACTTAACATAAAGATAACAAAAATAATTTCTCAATAAAGAGATATTGATCAAAATATCGGCAGTGACACGGCTAGAAAATTGCGTGCTTAGTCAGCAGGTGGTCTGACTTGCACAAGTCAGTGGGCGGTACGTTTCTCAAATAACTCCAACGTATTGTAGGACACGCTTTGCTTTCAGTCTGTCAAAGTTAGAAGAACATGAGATAGAGGACACTCATTGCAGATTTCCACTCAGAAATTTTAACTTGGGGGCCCAATAAGATGAAACTGCGATACTGAACATTCCGTCAACTCTGGTGTTCTCCATAGTGCACATTGTAGAACAGAAATAACGTTTCAAACGCTCGTTTGGGGACTGCAAACATATTGCTATTCCTTCGACATGTACAATATTATCGCTTTAACTATGTAAAATTATAGCTATATCGTTATAACTATTATAACTATGTACAATTGAGAGTAGAAAGAGCTATGTGCAAAATGGTCGCCAGTAGTGTAACGGATAGAGCACGCATTCCCGGAAAGAGTGAGGTGCGAGTTTTAGTCTCACCTGGCGCTAAAGTTTTGCACATCACTCTATAACACTGAGTATATATTTATAACATCATGCCAACGCAAAAAAGGTTAAATGAAAACATTTCCATTTGACTGCTAAAAGCCTAAGAAGACAGCAAAAAGGCTCCAGTTCACAACGGGTTAACATATTGAGGACCTTTGGATACACGGCGCTAGCTCTGCCCCGTTGTGCATGCGGCGGCTCGGCGGTAACGGTAAATCGCGCTGGCACCTATCACGAGGAGTGTTGCTGGTTTGGTCACTTAAAACGACGCTTCAATGTCATTTTTATTTTGGTGTAATTTTTTTGATGTTGCTCATTAGTGAAGGTCCTTTTATAGCGTAAGTATCACACCAAAAAATGCTCAATTGCCTAACATTTCACTAGATTCTGATACGAAACTTACGTTATGGGATAACAACGCGTCTTCAATACTTTTTCAAATTTACTATACGAAATATGGCGTAATAAGATGTGTCAGCGATTAGAGTATATTTACTGGAAACAAAAGGATAACACCAAAAAAATCACACATGGTAAAGGATCGAACTAGCAACCTTGCTCCCGATCGACGTCGGCACAAGCCCCAGTCACAACAGGCTGCTCACCGCCGCTTATGCGACGCGGTGGAGGCTAGAGCCGTGGGTGAACGGTAACCATTTACAAATACTTACGAATTGCAACCTCTTCAACAAGAAGCCAAGATGAGACTTATAATTTGCATCATTCATCGGTGTCATGAAAGTCACTTGAAGGGAATGAAAAATCATAATTCCAATGAAGAAGGAGCCACTACTACCACGCTAATCCTTTCACATATAAATTCTCCTCTGTTAGCTCGATAAGCTAGATAAAGACGCCTAACGGCTTCCCATACAAACAAAAAATTGAATACATCAGTGAAACCTACTTCTAAGTTTCATAGAAGGGCCGATGACTACTAGAGGCTCTACACCACGAACAGATAATCAATTCAGAATAATGAGAAGTAGACCATACAAAATGTTACCGAAACGTATTCACATCATCTCACATCGAAAGAAGATAAAACAGTGACCTTAAGAACAGAAAGAAACTAAATAGGATCCGTTTCGTATAGTACGGCTCATGAATCACGACGATACAGTTCACAGTACCAAATTTGGGAGGATTTTCGCTGTGTTCTGGCAAAGTAAATTCGTCTTGAGTGGGATCGAGTAAGTGAAGAGTACGTTGTATCTTTGGACAGACGTAATGCATGATCCTCAAAAAAATGTAAAAGACCTCGCAGAGGAAGAACAGTTTCTAGAAAAAAAAATTTCATATTTCACGAATCGACGTATAAACCTGTACCTACACTATGTGTATGCTTGGCATGATGTTCGCCATTTATAAAAGACTTTTCTATACAATTCGTCACACCATTAAGAGAGTACATGTTCCTGAATGAAGATAAACCCGACAAACATCGTGGTGAACTCTCAATGTTCGCTTATTACTATGCTCGGAAATTCTGTGCAAAGGAAGCAAGTTGTATACAAACAGAAGCTAGTTCAAAATAAAACGAAGGTGTTTTTCTTATTGTAATTTACACAATCCGTTTCCACACTTTATTATGTAGATCCCATCACTTCAGCATTCGGTTTTTTTTTCTCGTATTTGTCATTCCTAGGGTCTTCGAACATTTTGGTCCTTTTCGACTGCTGCTTGAGGATTTCATCATCTTCGTGAATGTCGTAAAATATTGGCCAGTCAGATCTGGCGATCTCGAATATGGCCGAGCCAGGTGTCCTCTGGTCATCATAGAAGAGCTCACGAGAAAGGGATTGGAAACAGTATACTGCCTAAATAATCGGGATGAAGGATGAAGTTCTCATTGTTGATCAGTTTCTGACGGTTTCTCAATATATTTCGGTGACTGAATGCAAATTTAGCCTTCAGAAAGGCTCACTATGGCCATGTATCAAGTAAGTTCTGCTATCTTCCCAGACAATTGTGGTATCTATTCATCAATCCCGGAGGGATGGAAAGCTTGCCAAGCCTTGAGCGGGATCGTACCATCAATCATACATTGATCGAACACGTGTGTCGCAGAACACCCGTTAGTAGGGCGAGATGAGATGTCAACGGTGATAATCATGTTTCGATTATCTCATCAGTGAGCACAGTTACGATCACGCTCTGTTCTTTTAGCTGACGTTCAATGTTCATATGTGTACATACATATACAAATATACATATATGTACATATATATATATATATATATATATATATATATCTCAGCCGACGCTTTAAAAAGAGAGCGTCGGTAATGCAACAGTTCAGCACCATCCCCCGGATAAGGTGAAATCTGGGTTCGAATCCCAGCTGAAGCAAATGCTCTTGCACACCGCTCCACCTTATTGGGTTTATTATAACATCATACCACCGCAAGAAGCGGTCAAATAAAATGAATTCTGATTGATTACATGTATGTGGATACACATATGCGTGCATCTCCGTGCGTGAGTATATGCATATATACATCTACATAGTAAAAAAAGTTGAAAACAGTAGATGCCGTGGATCAGTTTTGTTCAACCAGCCGAAATCCGTCAAGTGAGAAGTGGTGATGGACCAGTGTTATCGTACACTGTGCCGCCGCTCAGGCTTTGTGCATTCTTTTTTTGAATCTGCATCTATATATTGTAGTTAATCAAGCGTAGACTGTTGGCGTGATGCGAAGATTAGAATCACGATGACTGAAATGTGCGTGCTTTCACTGATGGGACAAATGTTTGGTTATCGGAGGTGTCGTCTGCTCGATTCGCACCTATAGCTCGTACGTGGCAGCGCGTTTTGCTAGCGCTACCGACTGGCCGATAGATGACCACATATTTATGAGTGATCTCACATCGAAGCTCCTGCAAAACGAGGCGAAGCGAATTACATGAAATAGATAAGACACCTGCATGAAAATGTCGACTGTTTCTGCATATATCTATATTCAATCCGTAACTGATTCTAGTAGCACTATGTGAACACGTGAAAGGAAAAGTCAGCATGTTAGAGTTTTTGACCCGTTAAATCTCATGTTTCCTTTACGGAGAACATTGGTCGCATCGCCGCGCGCGGTAAGAATCTTGTATTTCCTCGCGCTGCAGCGTAATATGGGAATTTCTATGTTAAATTGAGGTTCTGAGGAGACATTAGCATTGCTAAACGGTGGAATACCACAGAAGAGACTTCAATAAAGGGTTATTCAAAATGAAGAACGCCCATTTATCGGAAAATATACTGTTTCAATGATAACACAACGTCTTTGCGGAGAGTAACATTTTTCAAGATGAACAAGACGCTTGTTTTCTTGTTTACATATATTTTCATAATTATTCGTAAGAAATGCCGATTTTGATACTAAGCTTGGCTTCTGGGAAGACCTCCACGGTAGGTTCTACTAACGAGAAAAGTTAACGGATTTTTCTGGCATTATATATACATATATATGTATATGAGCGATCTGCTTGGTAGGAGCCATTGCTGAATGAATTGTATCCATGGACCTCCCTCTATGAAAGATCCTGTCCGGTCAGTCGCGAGGGCACGTGGCGCGTCCTCAGTTGAGTTGGATTAGGGAATAGACGCAAGCCAAAACAACCGTGTGCTTCCCAGAGACGCAGGGGGATTCAGGGAAACACTCCTGCTTCTGCAGCGCGGACTCATCAAAAACTCTATTTCTAGAGTCAAGTCGGCCAAAATCCTGCAATAAAGCGGCTGGGAAGTACGTGGGAGGAGGTTAGGAGTCGCCTGCAACAAGTAAGCTCCTCCCGCTCCTTCTAGAGAGACTGGCAAGCTACTCGTGACTACCCAGCCCCACGTTTAGAGCCTGGCAAGCTACACGTTGGGTATCAAAATGCCAGAAACAGTAACAAATATGGGCCTCATTCCCCTGACCCCGAAAGAGCCCCTGGTACGGCAGCGCCAGGTAGGACGAGTAAGGAGAGGCTGCTAAAATCTCAGGACCAAGCAATGCTGCCAAGATCGAAACGGACTAAAATGACGATCTGTGCCTACAATGCAAGAACCCGTGCTCACAAATCCGCTGTAGAAGATCTATTGACTCAAGCAAGACGAATAAGGTACGACGTCATTGGCCTGGCTGAGACGAGAATGCGCCATCCCTTTCACGCTGTTTATGACACCGAAGAAGAACTGTTCCTTGGAACACGCGATAGCAGAGGTGTCGGCGGCGTCGGCGTTCTCGTAAAAACGAATTTGACCGTGAACATCGATTCGCTCAAACATCTAACAACCCGTATCGGACGATTACGGTTGAAGCGATGTGGTTCTATACCGGCATTAACCACCTTCGTTGCTTACGCACCAACATCAAGCTGTGACGAAGACGAAGTTAAAGCGTTTTATATGGACCTCAAAAAATTCTTCAGAGAAGATCATACATTCTTTACGCTCATTGTCGGAGATTTTAATGCAAAAATTGGACCTAGAAGAGTGTCTGAAGAACGCCACATTGGGATCCACGGACTAGAATAGAGTGAAAAGGGTGAGAGGCTTTCTGAGTTTATCATGACGACTCAAACCACCTATGGTAACTCACAATTCCATAAGCCTCACTCCCAGCGATGCACGTGGGAATCTCCCAATGGAGAGTTTCATAACGAAATAGACCACATCTTAGTAAATCGAAGGTTTTGTCCTGAGCAATGTCGCTTTTCATCCTAAGTTCTACACGGGATCAGACCATCGCCTCTTTCGCGCAACGTTGCGTTTTTCGAGGAGACGAGAAAAAGCCGCTAAATTGAAAGAACGAAGTCCCAAACTACCATAAACTGAGATGTATTTAATTAATTAGTCGGCTCTTAGGAAGATACCGTTGTCGACAACATCGACGAAGAATACCATCGGTTCGTTGAATATCCTTACGTTAGCGATACGAAAGGCGAGAGTCCTAAGGTCACGAAGGAACGCTCTTCTCCGCAGACATTCAAGCTGATACGTCAACGTGGAACTGCACGAGCTACAGGCAAGTGAAATTTCACGTCCGAATTTGCGAAACGCTGCAGAGAAGCGATCAGAGAAGACCGCAAAGAGAGACGAGTAGCAGTTATGGCAAAAGCTGCAGAAGCTGGGAAGAGGATCCGCAAAGCCCAGCAAAGCTTCGCCACCTACAAGACCAAGATGACTTTACTCCGATACACTGGAGAGACACTTACAGCTTCCAGAAGGGCTATGAGGAGATAATTTACCAATACTACTCGGATCTCTTCGCTAGCCATGTCCTCTTAGCGTCATATAAGTAAGAAGAGGACGAATTTGATATTTCACCAGTCCTCCGTTCCAAAATCCGATATGATATAGCGTCGGTGAAGAAAATAACAACACTCGGTCCAGACGGGATCAGACCAACACACCTGAAGAACCTGCCGCCAGTTCTCATCAATACCCTGGCTCGGCTCTTCGCAAGGTCCCCATTCAATGATAAACCAACAAGACAGTACTGTTGTTCAAAAAGGGAGACCTTTACGACATAGGCAATTATCGCCCAATCTGCTTGCTGTCCGTTCTCTATAAACCCTTTACTCGAGTCATCCTAAACAGGATTGACAGAACACTGGACGAAGGACAGCCATGCGAACAGGCAGGGTTCCGAAAAGGATTTAGCACCATAGGCCACATCCCACACGATTACAAGACTCATTGAAATTTCACGAGGGTACAAGCAACCACTCTCTCTCACTTTCATAGATCTAAAGAAAGTTTTTGATTCAGTAAAGACAGAAGCGGTTATAGAGGCTCACGATAACCAGGGCATTCCCACTCGGTATATAATGATCCCTTGTGAGCTTCATAGAGTTTTCACGACCATAATATGTCCATTCTACAACAATATCATCATTGACGCTAGAAGAGGGGTTTGCCAAGGCGATACAATTTCTCCAAAACTTATCACTGCCACCCTACAAAAGGTCGTGCAAACAATAGAATGGGACGATATGGGAGTGAAAATTGACGGTCAACAATTAAACCATTTTCGCTTTGCTGACGATATCGTTCTTGTAACACCAAACATCAGCCAAGCTGAACGAATGTTGACCGATTTCGATAACGCCTGTGGAAGGATGTGTCTTCAACTAAATCTGACGGAAACGACGATCATGAGGAACGGATGGGTCATGAATGCCCCATTTGCGCTCAACGGATTGGCAATCTCCGATGCTCCAATTACGTCTATCTAGGTCGTGAAATCAACATGATGGACAGCGTAGGTCCAGAGTTGAGCAGGAGGAAACGAGCGGCTTGAGGAACGTTCGAGAGCATCGAAGATTTAGTGGAGAGGACCAAGAACATCCGACTCCGTGCCCACCTTTTCGACTCAACGATTATCCCTGCCCTAACCTATGCAGCAGAAACCTGCTTGCTACGTATGCAGGATGAAAGATCACTTGGCGTTGTTGAACGCGCAGTCGAAAGGTCGATGCTAAGAGTATCCCGTATCTCGCAAATGAGAGAAAGGATCCGAAGTTCCGACCTACGTCAGCGATCGAAAATCAAAGACTCCGTTCTACACGACAGAATATAGGAAAATAAGGTGGGCCGAACACGTGATGCGCTTCAACGACAACCGATGGACGCATCAAGCGCTTTCTAGAAAGATCACCGACCCGTTGGTCCTATTTCTTCATGAAAGCTACAGAATAAAAATATGATGTTTAACGAATCCCCTGGGCGAGGAGGACCCACTGGGCTACTCTTGCACGCGATAGGGAAAAATGGAAGTGTTGCTGGTACCCGCTCGAGTCATTCGACGATCAACTGGACTACAGGTGATAGGTGATATATGTATATAATAGTAAATTTTCGACTTTGAGTAAAACTTTATCGCTATGGAAAAGTACCCTTCTGCTGGACAAGAATCTTACATAAGAGTGTTAGTACTATTTCGAAAGCTCAAATCTCGGGGACTGTTGTATGCGTTCGTTTTTTTGAAAAGCTCTTTTATAGTAACGTAGCATTTGAAATTTAATTATCTTTCACCGCACTCTGATATTTTCTTCGTTGGAAGCACGACGAGCATGTGAACGTGTAGAGGAGATCTTGCAGAATCAGAGTGATACGTATTAATTGAAGTTTCTCTCAAATCGGAAAAAAAATTCAAAGTTTCATGATAAAAACCGCACTACACATTCGAGTTGCACCGGAGCGATCAATTGACCGGATATCGATTCAAGGCTACGCACACGCATTAGCCGACGAGCAAGTGCACGGTATAAGTAAAACGATCTTACTTTCCTATCTACATTACAGTAAAACGGCCTTTTCAGAAATTAAGCACAGCGTTGGAATCATCGAAACTTCTGCTTTCGAACGAATACTT